TTCCGCAAAAAAAAAAAAAAAAAAAAAAAAGACTGTAACATGCCCTGGGAGAACAGAAGAGGGGCTAAAACTATGAATGAGAGAATCAGGGATGGCTTTATAGAGTAGGTGAAATTTGAGGTAGGTTTCAAAAGATGAATAGGATTTTGCCACCGACAGAAAAGAATGGTATGGCATGACTAGAAATAGAACTTGGCATGTCTGAGATAGCAAGAGTAGTTTAGAGGGCTAGAAAGTAGACTGAGAAGGAAAAGGGGTTAAGGATGAACTAGACTGGTGCTATCCAGGTTGGTGCTGGATTGTGGAGGGCCTTAGACTCCAAACTGGAGTTTGACAGTCATCCTATGAATGGTGGGAAAAGCTAGAGAATTCTGAGCAGGAAAACTGACAAGATTTAGAAAGAGGTTTTTAGCCAGGCATAGTAACACAACCCTGTATTCCCAGTATTTGGGAGGCTGAGGTAGGAGGAGCAGGGTGAGTTCAAAGTCCCCCTGGAGGAGAGTGGAGAGAGAAGACCCGATGGCAACTTTGGGAGGAAACTAGAAGTGTTTGGCGTGAGTCTAGTGCTCAAGATTAGACCTGGAGACTCCCAAAGGAAGGGGTGCTGCACTGATGAAAGGACGGGATACAAAGGAAGCCGAGGAGCTCTGGCTCACTCAAGGGTCTCTTCTACACACTGGCTTCTCCCCACCTTTCCTTTCCCTTTTGCTCCTTGGCTTAAGTTAAGGCCTCGTCCATCTTTCTGCTTTTTGGAGACAGATTATTGTTATGTAGTGCAGGCTGGCCTTGAGCTCAACATGTAGCCCAGGTTGGCCTCCAGCTCATAGCAATCTTCCTGCTTCAACCTCGCCAATGCTGGGATTACAGGTGTGCCTCCAAGCCCAGCTCAGGACCCCTCTGTCTTTGATCTAGAATACTATCCAGGCCAGGCCCTGTAGATTGAAACCAGTGGGCCTTAGCCTATCTGCATCTCTCTTTTTACAAGGTAGCTGAAAACGAAAGAAGCACTCAACAGTTTTCTGTTCACCAACTTTTAATAACTCCCCCTCTTTTTGCACTGGCTAAAGAAGGCCTTCCTTCACTAGGTGCTGGAGGCCTAGTGCTGTGACCCTCCAGTCTGTATGCCCAATTTACTCTCCAATCACACTGGTGACTATCTTTTCTAAAATTCACTCGGAGGGCCGGCAAGACAGCTCAACGGACTAAAGCACCTGCTTAGGCAAGCTTAGGGAAGTGCAGGGACTGCAGTTCGATCCCTGGCACCACGTGCCATGCCATTGCACCCTCAGGGCAGGATGAGCTGGCTACATAGTCTGGGCTTTAGTGGCACACGCCTGTGATCCCAGCACGGGGGAGGCTGAAAACAGGAAGATCACCAAGAGTCCAAGCCGAGTAGTGAAATCCTGTAACAACCAAATACATTAAAAAAAAAAAAATTCATTATGTTTTTTTCTACATCTTGCTGCTGCTGATGCTGCCTGGTCTACCTGTCCTGTCTGTGGATCCTTGTGTCTTATCTAGCTACAAATCCTGCTCTCCCCTCATCCTTGGATTCTTTTGATTCCTTCAGTTTTAGTAAAAGAGACAAAACATAAATCCTAGAACACAATGGCATAGATTTAAACCCTGGCTCTGCTGTTTCTTTGCTTATATTTGATAAGCACATTTCCCAAGCTAGCATGAAAAGAATATAGTATATATTTTAGGAGACCTCAGTAAGTACTAAGTGATAGATGCAAGTTAAAGGATTCCAAAAAGTATTTTAAAAATGTAAATAATGAGCACTATGGTAAATTACAACTGAATTTTTTTTTAAATTTGTATATTTCCTCTGGCTATTAGGGCATTGTTTTGTTTTGAGACAGGGTCTTGCTATACAGTCTACACTTGCCTTGAACTCACTGGTCTTGAACTGATAGTGATCCTCCTGCCTCAGCCTCCCATGTGCTGGGATTACAGGCGTGCAGCACTTGTGTCTGTGGAGCTCACTGGTAAACATTTACTGAGTGAAGAGACGATGGGAAATACAGTGAATGCTTGAGGGTCATTTACCTTTCTATTTCATTTCTCTTTTGTTTTGTTGGCTGCTCGGCTCCTGAGCCCTCTTCCTTGGTATTAACTAACCTTCATTGGAAGACAAGGTCCTACTTCCCACCAAGAGAAGCCAAAGGTACTTACAATCTCCCCAACCCAACGTCGCTACTAAGGCAAAGCCAACAGGATCCAGGATCATGGCCTGTGCTTGGCCATGTGTCTCCTCCCAGCCAGGGCTGTGAATCTTGGTTAATGATACAAAGGGTCAGGGGACAGAGGATAACTCATTAAGATGACAGCAGACATTGGTGATGGAGGCAGGAGTTATTGGCTGTGGTATCCTTAGCTAGATCATGTAACGAGACCATTCTTCTTGTTTTTTTTTTTTTTTTGCAGAACTGGGGATTGAACTCAGGGCCTCGCACTTGCCAGGGAACTGCTTATTCCACTAAGCCATCTCCCCGGTCCAGATGAGACCATTCTTATGCTGAGGATGTGACTGTGGTCCTGGGTTCTACTGCTGAGTTTGATTAATTGACCTTGCCATCAGCTCAGGATTATTTGATAACCTCCCAATATATTTTCCTCTTATGTTTGCAGAGTAGCTTTCTGTTGTTTGCAGCTAAGAATCCTTCCAAGATGAAGATTTAGGGAGAAAGAGAAAACAGGGACCTTTTTGTTTGTTTGTTTATAAGTTCTATGTTGTTACTGTTGTGGTACTAGTTCTGGTGTTTAAAAATATCCTTTTACAATAAATAACCTAGAGTACATTTTATTAGAAAATAAAACGAGGCAATTGAATTTGGGCAATATTGTGTCTAGCCTTGAATGCAGTCCAGGCTGACCTCGAACTCAAAGCAATCCTTCTGCCTCAGACTCCCAAGTGCTGGAACATAGGTGTGCACCAACACACTCAACTGAAACAGTACAGTTTTAAAGGGAAGAAGAGAAGTAAAAAAAGGAAACAAGAGAAGTGAAAAAAAAAATGGCATCTTGGTCAGGCATGGTAGCACACATCTGTAATCTCAGAACTTGGGAGGCTGAGGCAGGAGGATTACCATGAGTTCAAGGCTAGCCTGGGCTACAAAGTGAGTTCCAGCCAGCCTGAAATGTGTAGCAAAACCCTATCTCAAAATGACTGGGAGATGGCTCAGTAGAATAAGCGCTTGCCTGGGAAGCACAAGGGCCTGAGTTCAATCCCTGGTTCTACAAAAAAAAATTAAAAA